AATTCATGAATGAAAAAAAAGTAACGAAATCAATCAATTTCACTGCTCGATCGAGTATACCTATTAGCGTCGATTCATCGATGAGTTGTGTCGAGCAAAGGCAGCACACACGAAAAGAAAAGGCTCGTGGCGCGCTTACATCAAACCTCTTGGATAAACAACGCGAAGGGAGTGTGAATGAATATGAGATCATTCACGAGATACCCGATGGTTTTCAATGAACACAACTTCCTGGGAACAATACTATATCGATTCATTAATAAAATAAAAATAAAACAAAAAAAGACCAACGTATATACGACGAAACAAACAATGGATTTGTTCATTTTCATTCTCTGAAAGACTCTCGATGAATTATGTACGTAGATGTAGGGCTGTACAAAGCAATAACGCCCCGAGTTTTACGGAGAATGTGAATAAACAAAGGTATAATGGATACGATGACTGGACAAGTACATTTCTTTCCGTTGTTTCCGCTGCACTTGCGGTCGATCGACAGCGATGGAGCTTCGGAGGGACAAAAAGTTGCGCACATTGTGTACATAGACATTCGATGACAAGACTCCTGCTGGTACAGCTCCGGTTCCTTGACCCTACGATTACATTCGAGAGGACAGAAGAGAAGGGCAGCAAGAGGGGGTGAGGGAAGAAGAGGTCGGCAATTTATTAATAACAACCTCCCGGAGCCTCGCGTCAGGAGACCGATCGGCCAGGGGACCGATGGCTGTACCTCGCCTTTTTCCCCCCCGTGCGAGCGTCAGCTACCTGAGATCTCTCTTCCTCTCGCACTGGAATTATCTTGTCTGCCAGCTCCTTATCATTATGACACTCTGCTCCCTCCTCCTCCTCCTCCCTCGTCGTGTCTATACTCCTCCTCCTCTTCATCTCGACTCGCTCGTTTTCCTTTCTCACGGGGGCGCCCTTTTGTTCATTGGTGCTCTGCAATTGTTGCTCTTAAATACACGCTTGGATCTCTCCTCCTCCCACCTACTGCAGCCTTTTTTTTTCTCTTCTCGTTTCGTTCGGTTTCAGATTTAAGGGTGATTATCGTCATATAACTGCAGACTAATGGCCGGTGTAGGTTTAAAGGGATACCGGGGGCCCCTGCATATCTATACTTACGATGGAATGATCGTTGATTTTATTGAATGATCTCCAATCCGTGAATACCATGCATGATGTGTATCGTTTTTACAATGGTTTGATAGTACGAAAAAATAACTGCTGTCTATTACCTTTCACGGGGGGGTTTTTTTTTTTGCCATTTTTATTCGTTCTTGATGCATATGGTACATCTCGAGATTATTATGCATAAAAAGTTATTATTTTACGTGCCATTGTTCGTATTGTCGATAAAACTATAACATCAAAAGACAAGCTAATAAAATAAAGCTCGATAAACTCGTACTTCAAGGGATCACTTTGCATCATTGCCTATACTTACTACTGTACACACGAAAGCAGAAGAAAGTTTATTTTTTCTTCCTTGAATAAGCAACCCTTGATGTCGAGCTAAATCTCAACAATACGATGGAAATAAAAAACGAGCCGGTCATAGGAAGAAGCTCCGAAATGATCGAATATGGTCTATTTTTGCCCCGGGCAGTCTGCGTTACTGCACAATGTCCGAGAGAGAGAGCGTCATTTTCCCTGCAGTTTGGCCCCGCCGAGCTCTCGGGTTTATTTACGGGCCGGGAATATTAAAGGACGCGGGGCTGTGTGTGTGTGTGTGCTTATACGCGTATAAATATCGGCGTGGCGCGCGCGCGAACGCTTAACAGTCCGTAAATCAATCAGACGCCACCCCCACCCTTTACACCACGTAGTGTATATAGGTGTGCACGAGCAAGTGGATGGGAGTAAATATATCATATCTCTCTTTCCCTCTTGTTACTCGTCTGCCTCCTCGAGTTTGCTCTCTTGTTAAGTGCGCACAGCCTTACATTTTTCTTTTTTTTTTTTTTTTTTTTTCGAACGGGCAAGTTGGCACTCGTGTTTTTTCTTCGATGGAAGAACAAAACAATAATCACGCGGTATAATAACATTTCGTGGTATACAGTACGAAGCATCTAAATGACATTAAGATAATGGCTCAGTACGGCATCTACGTACGGCAAAAACAAACGAGGTGTTACATACACCCACGCACCTGTGGTATGCACAATTACATGGTCATAGCATTCTTTTGGCCCAATTTGTACGTGTAGATGCGTAGCCGCGGCTGTGCGTTATCGCATTCCGTAATGTAATTGCTTCGACTAAAACAGCGTGTGGAAGCTAAAAAAAAATGTACACATACGTACTCGCATTGTACGAACTGACCCATTTTAATTGTTAGCTTATAATCGGTGTCCACAAAGTTATGTTAGATCGGAGAGGTATCGAATTCCAAAAACGTGATGAAATCCTTTGTGCAGAGGTTTACGAACTGCCTTTGACGTTCATCATTTTTTTTTACATCTTTGGCATAAGATCGTTGTATTATTTTTCATTTGTTCGTACCTGAGGTTTATTATTAGGGCAGGGTTGGTTACTTTTTTACGCAAAACTGGTTAAAACTATGCATCTACAATAGGTTTCGGTTGGTTCTCTGCAGTTGAAGTACATTTTACGGATGAAGTTTTCACGATCGGGGTCTCTCACTTTATCTGTTTCGCGTTGGTTGTGTCGAATGTAAATATTTGTACTTTTTTCAAGTTTCGAACTGTATATCCAGTGACCTATGCTAGAGCACAGTCCTCTCCATCCGAAGGCCACACTCGTGCATATCTTTTACTTTTATGTTCCCCGGGGATTTTTTTTTTAATTCGCACGGGTGGCTTCTCTCGCGCCTTCGCACATCGACGGGCTGTCTATGTCCCTCCCAGCGGGACTCCGGACGCGAGCTTGAGATTTTCGAGTTCTCGCGGAGCTCCTTTTTTTTTTTTTTTTTTTTCGTGCGATCCATCCGAGATAGCCACACACGGCAAACATGTGACCCAAACCTTTTTCTTTTTCGCCCAACATTGATTCTAGTGGCTTTGAGGAAAAATAGCGTATTTTTAAGAGCAGGTTGCGTCTTCCGAAATACTATAGGCTATAATAAGAATCCCGAGGGTATTTATAACCTTGACGAATCGCAGTTTGGTCATTGGAAAATAGTTGTTAGCGTTTCGCAACGACGTCTAATAAAAGGCACACACCCTCCACCTTGAACGAAAGCAATGAAGATGTCGTAGGCGACGGGATGCGGATATTTTAATAAAAACGCACGGCAAACGCGTATATTATATCATTCAAAATTGAGCACATCGTAAGCGTGCACCTCTCTCGCCCGTCCGCGAGGAATCGCATGAATCATAAAATGGCCGCGTAATTTACGAGCTATTTTCCAAGGAGCGATGCGTCTTCATTTATTCAGGGGAGCGCGCGTGGTGCGGCGAATAAATCTGCCTGGACGAATTTTCCGCGTTTCCGTGGATACCTGTCGACTGCGTGGTGCGAGAACCCATTAGTCACTTGGAAAATTGTGTTATCAAGTTGGGGCCATTTTCCGAGGTGACCGATTCATTAGTTTATTGGGCCGTGAACAAAGTTCATGTGAAGCAAATGTGTTTATCGGGGGATTTAGGTGAAAAAGCCACGTACAGATAATATTCGATGGTAAATTAAAGTCCCATTAGACAGCGATGACAATGGGGGCGTTTGTGATTTCAATGAACGCGTCACCCAACAATCACCTCGTAACAGCCGGCCCTGGGGTCTCGAGTCATCTTCTTTTAAGAACAGAAAAGGAAAAGGAAAAAAAAAGGGGGGGGGGGAGAAATACCATCCGGACACCTGCCGAGAGAGCGGCTTTTCTCGGTAACGATAACCGAGAAGCTCCTCGGCGCGGGAGTGATTTGGCATTTGTGTGTTCCGAGATGCGTGAAGTGGTCCCGGGTGGCGCCTAAAAAAATATTTTCATTCGCGCCGTCTACTGTACTTGCCTTTTGTTGCTCCTCGGCCTTTTGTATATACACGGGCTCGCTCTTGCTCGAGCACTAATCGCAATGTTTTTTCACGAAATTCGCGCCTTTTCGGCCTGTGTTTATTGGGTGTTGACTTTTTTTTTTTTTTTTTTTTTTTTCAGTCTTTCGTGTATTTTCTGCTGCTACTTTTCTCTTTTTTGTCGCTCCCAGGACTTTTCAGACTGCGGCTCTGTAATTTTCTTTGACGAGCCGCAAGGAGCCACTGATCTTATTTTCAACTCTACGACAAGCAAATTATTCAAAAAATAGCAAGAAAAATTAAAGTCTCAATCGTATGTTTTTGCAATTTAATGCTTTATTATTTTTGCCCAATACGTATTCCGTTAAATATCACATGGAACGGAAATGAGAGCAACGAGTGAAAAAAAAAAAAAAAAAAGGTACTAGTACATACAGTAACCCGATACTTCCACTTAAATGGTAATTGCGATTTTTAATACTGTATCCGAGTAAGTAAGTATACTATCGCATCTTTATCTCGATAAAAATGATTATCCCTCCCTACATGTGCATTTCTAATGAAATTTTTCTCATCCACCAATGCAAAGTCATTATTCTTCGAAAAAATACCATTTCCTTCAATTAATTAGCAGAGAATGATGGAAAAAAAAGGAGAGAGAGAGAGAGAGAGCAGAGCCCCTTTGAGTCGCGGATATCAAAGGAAAAGCTTCCGGGAAGTGGTTATCTTTGCGCCGCGCACTCGACTCGAAAATCCATCTTCCTCTCGGCGAAGACGACAAAGTTGGCTTACGCACAGCATGAGTATCTCCCTCCTCCGCATCTCGACGTCGGGTTTATCGAAGTCGAGCGATCTGCGGAACCGCGACCGAAATAACTCATCGGATCCTTCCCCAAGATTTAAATAGACCTCGCGTGTGCCTCTGTATCTTTCCGCCGATGCGCGCGCTGCCTCGGGAATTCGATGACTCGATCTCCTTACCCTCCTCGAGGAGCTAGATGCAATCGAATCTCTCGCGGAAACAGTTTTTTCTTTCTTTTTTTTCAAACACGCGTGCAGTACGTAAATCCGCGAGTAAAAGTTGAGTAGTGTCCTCGCGCTGTAAAAACCGCCCCGGCACCTTCCCGAGAAAAGTAAGGGTCCATAACTCTGGGGAGCAGAGAAAAGTCCCCTAAAACTCGAGAGCAACCAAATGCAGGTACACGCGACTTCCCACGGCGCGCTTTACTGCCTCCGGTCGCGCGGGACGTATAACATTCCGGGGCCCGTCCCGAGGCGCTCGCACGTGTGAGGACCCATACTTGGCAGAGGTTGAAGATTTTTAAAAGAAAGAAATGAGGATGAAAAAAAAAAAAAAAATCAAACAACAACAAACGTGGGAGGGGTGGGGGGAAGAAATTTTATCTCAGTTGTATTAAGCACCTTTTGGGGCGGTGGTAGCAGTCGCGGCGGTGCTCTCGCGAGGGCTTCTTCTCCGAAGTGGCTTTATGGTCGCGTATATCCTCGAGAGAGAGAGAGAGAGAATGAGCGAGTGTCATCGTCGGGATGGCGTGGTAACCTACGGCCGAACGGAGCAAGGGGATGAGAGTGAAGAAGAAGAAAAAAAAAGAAAAAAAAGACAGCTCGCGATCACTGCAACAACCCGTATCGTAAAATATCGGTGTGTTTGTGTGCGCGTGTTGGTATAAGCTGGTGAATTTTAGATGAGCCGCGAGCGATAAAGGCTCAAAATGAATAATAAAACGTGATATTTGTTGCGCGCTCTCTCCCTCTCGTTCCTCCCGATTTAATCTCCCCGGGATCTTAATGCGTTACGTAATGCTCAGGTGTATATTCGTTTCAAGTGGTTTGCTGTTTTTCTGCGCGCGCGCGTGTGTGCGTAATGTGACGCGAAGAGGTAGCCCAAAGAGGCGGAAAAGTAAAAAGAGGATGGCCGTACAGGTGGCGATCGCCTTGCGAGTTCAGTCCTCCCCAGCTTGCCTCGATCCTGGAATAATCGCGGCAGCAGCTTTTGCCGGCAATCAAATCATTGTTTCTTATCGTTTATCAATACCATTGGGAGTCAAATTAGTCGTCATGGAAAAAAAAAATAATCATCCTCATATTAATGTTAATTATTGAACTCCACGAATGTGCGTCACCCTTTTGTTGAACGTGAACGGATTTTAGTGACAAAAATTAAATTCCCAACCCAATTATGTTACGCACGTGTGAAGTTGCTTTGGATTACGGAAGCCTGTATGGCTCATGCGCGCTCCATGTTGCGCGAGCACATACGGAAGCAAAAAATGTGCTTGCTCCAGGAAGCGCACTTGCGCGCTGTGCTACTTGCTTCTGTTTTAGGAGTCTGTCTACAATGTATCGATGGTTCGTTGCGCTGCGTTACGCTCCTACACGACGTATTGTTTCAAGAGCTTAAGGCACATTATAATTTAGTAAAAGCTAACCTATTATTTTGTTCACAACATCTTAATTGGGTTTTACTTATTACTGTTTTTATTTTTATTTTTATTTCGATTTCGATTTATTCGATTTATTTCGAGAAATATTTCGATGTAGCTATACGAGTATCAACTTACTATTAGTGTTACTCGAAGGATTAAAATCTCGGATTAAATACTTGATATTCGTCAATGTTATTGTCAAGGACAATTTTGTTATCTTTAATGGATAACCCTATCACATCGCCGTTTTGTATATATGTTAATGACGTTGCTTCTGGAAAATATAAATGTAACGTTGACAATTCCAACTTTCCATTTGTAATCTCCAATTTCACAGATACGTTGTTTTCTACAACTTTCACGTAGCGAGACATGTTTGCCTATGATTCTTAATAGAGTATTCACAAGACATTAAACAACTCAAGAACGACAAGAACACCAATATTATTAACAAAAGAATAGGTTAGCTTTTACTAAATTATAATGTGCCTTAAGCTCTTGAAACAATACGTCGTGTAGGAGCGTAGCGCAGCGCAACGAACCATCGATACATTGTAGACAGACTCCTAAGCAAGTAGCACAGCGCGCAAGTGCGCTTCCTGGAGCAAGCACATTTTTTGCTTCCGTATGTGCTCGCGCAACATGGAGCGCGCATGAGCCATACAGGCTTCCGTATTGGATAGATTCCTGATAATTGTAGGCCTCTTAAACTTCGTATCTATACTATTTCACAATTGGGGGAAAAAACACCCTCTCCGAGCTGTTAGAGAAGAGGCACGTGTAACGATTTTCCATAGTTTCCCTAAAACTTCGTTGTGTCTACTCACAATTTCAGTGAATAAATCCAAAAAAATTTTTAGAGCTCCAAGATTAAAAACGTAATAAAATTTGATATGTACCTAAAATACCAATCGCTGCTACGTAGCTCCAACTTCACGCGTCATCGAGCTGTATTATTTTTATTTTTGTTATTTCAAAACTTCAGTTAGAGAGCTCATATACTTTCAAAAATAATTAGGGATGGAAAATATGTGATTGTCGCATGAAATTTTTAAGTTTGACGTCCACCAACACGGAGATGTTAAATGTAATGACTCGATTGCTAAATGGCCATGAAGCCAGATTTTTCAAAATGAATTAATTTCCTGATAATACTTCTGAGTACACAATTGTAGGCACATGTTCGTAATCCATGTGTCAGGATATTTTTTTAATGGTCGTTTAACGATCGAGATATGGCAGGTATGACTTGAAGCGGAGTTACTTCGAAGTTTCCTTATTTTCGATATCTCTAAATTGGTATACTTCAAACAATTGGAGGCTCGTGGTATTATTTTTGGGCTACAGTAATATTTTTTAGGCCTGACATTATTAGTTGTCCTAAAACAACTATCTGTTTACTCGAATAGTTCATACCTTATCAACCAAAGATTACAGCAGTGTACTTCACTTTGTGGTAATTGGTCTGTCGTCAACACGGGAAATCAGATAAATTGAATAAAAAAATAAGTCATGTAATTATTTAGGAATCTCAAAAGCCTTATTCGCGTCTTCGATGCTTTTTTTCTGACTTTTACTCTGCCGATCTGTTCTTTCGCCTCCTCATATACTTACTCGTGCACTTGTGTATGCAGGTAACGCTCGGCTTGTCCATTCATAATGCATGAATTTTTATTATGCATACACCCATGGATGTGATGATTAAAGTTTCAGCGGATAAGAAGGCCGGCAATCAAATTCCGGAGTTGAAAAGACCATGTGGGGGAACACAGTTTTCTCGGTGAGCTCTACAGGGATAATTTGAATTTGTGTGCTGCACATGTGGGTACGTAATCAAAAGTGCACCGCGAAAGCCTGAAAGGAAAGGTACGACTCAATAGAGATCGAGAGTCGCAGAGTCATTCCGATGGCTGCAAGAAGGAATATAATCGCCGATCCCCCGTCTGACGAACCTTGGGACCGTTCAACTTTTTTAACCAACTCCCATTATAATTTCTCTGATCTAAGAAAAAGAGGCACTTTGTCATTGTGCAGCCGTAATTTTTGCTTGCAGGAAAATCAAAAGGGAAAATCGCGATGTAACCGGTCAGGTTCGCGAGGACTTAAAGGACGAAGGAACTCTCATCGCCTCTACTTTTCGCTCTCAGGTGGAACTGGAAACGAGTGCGATAAACATGCCAGCGCTGGACGACCCCCTGCCGGTTGACCGTTCCTCTCTCGACTATCACCGTCCGACTTTTCATCTTATCCCTTTTTTTTTTTTTTTACCGTTCAACTGGCCTGCCATTGACTCTCTGTAATAATTTTACGTGTCCTCTCGTACAAACTTAAAGTGGACGGATTTTTTTTACAAGACGAGAATTTGTTTGAGCACATGCAAGGCCTGTGCAACAATATAATATCCCGTATTTGAGGGACGTAAGTAAAAACTGAATTTTACATTTTGTCATCGTGACACAGAAAGCCCCAAACATCCGCCGATGATCCTTACGATGGTAAAATAGATTATTCCCCCCCAAAAGACCTGTGAAAACACGAGTCCCCTTGAAATCCTTCCGTTGACTTTTCCAAAAAAAAAAGCACCTCCACAGACAGTCTCATCCGACAGTCTGTCGAAAAATTTCTAGCGGCGGCTGCATACATGCACCACTCACATGGGACGAGGTGCCCTTGTTGGAGCACAGCCACCTGTTCCCCGAGCAAACGCACAAGCGCGCGTGTGTACCTTTTTTCCTCCTCTCCCTCCTCCCCTCTTCTCTCTCTGTCTTGCTCGTTGAGAGGAGCTGTCAAATTAAGGACAGACTGACGGCTGCTGCTCCTGCCGTAACAGGCGCGAAAGAGCGCCCGCGCGTAACCTGTAATTTGTACGCTAGCATTTCCCCCCCCCCTTTCTCTCTCTCTCTCTCGCTTGCGGACGAAAAGACCGTCGTCATGTAATATCGATATAAAGGGGTGGCCAAGCGAGCCGGGGAAATTTCAATCCAATCGATCCCGTCGTCTACCTTTTCATCCGTATGTAGTATAGCGACCGGTTGACTTTGCATCAGCTCGCTCTCGAAGGAGGAAAAACATTTTTTTCATCTTACCCTTACTTATTTAGATGTGCCAGATTTTTTGGAAACCAGCACGCTACAAAGCACGTTAAATCACTTGGAAGATCGATTGAGAAGGAGAGAGAGAAAAAAAAGATTTGATGTGAAAAAAAAAAAAAGTTATAACCTACCCACTGTACTTGTACGTGCAAGAGTAGGTACCTATTCGCGAATTGCCTCTCCATTCATAAAAGTTAACCAGCAATAAGGTATACATAATATAATCGCGTATGCACCGAGAGCCCCTTAAAATGCACTTAGCGGTTCATTCGGATCTAGATCGCAAGACCCTGCGCGCGTATAGCGATTTATTAATTGCCAGGTTAACGCTCGTGCGCGGCGCTCTATAACGGGCTCGCCGCCGCGTGCGACTCGATTGTTCAAAGCGCGCTTCCGCTTCTCCTTTTTTTTTTTTTTTTTTTTTTTTTTTTTTTACATTATCATTATTATCTTCCTATCTATGCGGTCTGTACATGCACGCTCCTCTTCCAGCCGATGCTTCGCATTCCTGCACATTGCAGAGGGTGTACGCATTGTACTGCATGCACCGGGCGCCAGTCGATGATCGCACCGGAGAAAATAATGGCCCCTATATATAAGAGGAGGAAGTTGGCCGTGTGTGGGATTACAAATAGTTTTTGCTTTTTACCACATCTGAAGATTCGTGTGAAATTGACTTTGTTGAGAAAAGAAGAAAGTTATGTATAACACAGGTACTTTTGGTGTGATTTTGCAAAAATATAGTACGTTAGACTCGAGCGTACGTGAGAGGAAGACGAGCTGCGTCGCAAATTTCGGATTTTACTCTTCGCGTGAAATGAAATTCCGCCTCCTAATGGAACACGGGCTGAAAAGTACATAATTCTATAATGCAAAGTGGCAATAATCATTACGTGTGAATCTAAGGTATGCCATAAACTCGAGGAAGCGCCGAGAGTTCGCTGTTTCCTCGGCGATCGGCGCGTTTCATGCCCCCCGCGCGCGTGTACGCGTCGAGGACAAGGGGGAAAAAAAGAAAAGATTTGCCGCGCTAGAGAAATGCCGGGGAAAAACGTGATACATCCAATGGAAAAATATAAAAAAATGCGGAGAATGAAAGGAAAACAAAATTATCACCGAACATGGTGCAAATTTTCTGAAAATTCGACACGTGCACCTGGGATTTTTCGACTACAACTGAGATGCACGAAGTCGTGATACGTTGTTGTATATGCCGTTGGTTAACAAGTTTTCTCGTGTATATTTTGTTTTGCCAAACACTTTGTGGCTGCAGTGTATGATTAAGACAACAAAATTTATTGCACTTTGTGTTTCTTGAATTTCCAATCGAACTATCCAATATTATCAAGAAATTGTCCTAAAACTCGAGTATCCTAAATAATAAAACAACGTATTTATATGAAAAATTAATTTGTTTGCGAGAAATTATTATTCAAAATTTATACGACTGTAGAAATTTTAACCAAAACAACGAAAATTGATCTACTAGCTTGTCCAATTTTTCAAGTATTATTTTTTCATTCACATATTTTTTTTTAATTTTCCATAATTATTCTTTACAATAATCGATTTGGTAATTTTTATTTTAAAAATTGACGTTTAAAGTGCGTGAAATCACCTTTTTCTGTATATAAAAAATATTCCGTTAAAAAACACCCTGTACAACAAAAAAAAAGTAGCGCATGAAAAATTCAGTATCTCTCACTTGCACACGCATGAACGCGAAAACATAAAAATTCCACGGAGCCAAGGGAGCAAAGGAAAAAAAAAAATAAATAACAGACTGAAATAGCCACCTTATAACGAAACGACTCGTTGTATTAATACACACTTGTATACTCGTGCTCTGCATCGTATTAGAGCCACCTCCACCCGGCCGGCTATAACAATTACCGGCATCGCTAATTTCGCTCGAGCGCTACCAAAGCTCCTCGCAAGGCGTACAGGTCTATAGGCGATAAATAAAAGTCATCCGCAGGTATATATATACCCGTTGGTTTGTTTGTCGAGGAAAAATCTGTGGGTAGCCATCGTTAGGGAATTTAGATGATGAAAGTGGCCTCTTAACGAGGAATGAAACGCTCCGTTTGCCTCAGATTTGTATTATTTTTTCAGAAAGCACTACCATAGCTCCGCGTGCACGCACATCACCCGCAGGAAGGGTTACAGCTCTTATTGTGCTCAATGCGCCATGATCATTCCAGGCGCGCACTCTATAATTTCTCCCTTTCTCTGTTATACACTGCACGTGTGTGTTTTGCCAGAGTAATAGCTTTGCTTTTAATTTTATTTCCCTCCCTCGGTTCGATGTTTGTTTACCATGTGCTTAACGATGATTAAGTACGGACGCTCTTTTTTTCATCTTCGAGGCAGTTGTATTTATTGCTTATTTTCGCTGCTCGAACAGTTTTATCATACTCGTAGAAAATGGCTTTTCGCGTCGGTCCGTGTTTTTTTCATCTTTTCGCCCCACTGCGTTTTACGGTCGAGAGAAAATTTCTTCACAAATCGGCGTGTCGCATTAATATCCGAAAAAAAAAAAAAAAAAAAAAATCCTTCCGATAAAACTAAAGACGTAAAACACTGCCCAACTGCGCGATTGTAGCACGTAATCCACGCACCCAAATCCACTCAGTCGTGGCTTGTACTTGCGTTCTCCGCTTCGCTTCTCATATACCGTACTCTACAACAGTATTACCAGTGTACAAGTACAGCAGTAGTGCGAAGCGCAAAGGCTCGCGTTCAAAGTTACGGGATGCGCGCCTCCGTCTCGGCCCTTTGCACTTTGTTCTCCCTCGTTGTAGGTACGCGCTGTTCCTCGTTCCCATCCGTAAGTTTAATCCACCCGACTCCCATCAGCCGCAATTTCCACGCACCGCCTCGCATTTTCTTTTTCATTGATGGTTGAAAATGAAAAAAAAAATTTTTTCTTTTAAATAAATAAACGAAACTTCCGTCTTCACTGCCAAAGTGAGTCAAGACGACAGCGGCGCGGAGGGAGGGAGCCCCTTTTTGCGCGTCTACCTCCGGCGCCTCGTGTGTGGCTATAGGCGCACCAATTAGTTATACGGCTCCTTATTCCCACGTGGGCGAAACGACAAGAGAGAGAGAAAAGCAGGAGGACTCCCTCTCGTACGTTTCCCTTCTTCTTCTTCTTCTTCTTGTCTCCTCGTCGTCGTCCTCTCCTTCCGAAACCACCCCCTTTTTTTTGCCCCTCTCCGGCACTCACACATAGATACACTCGTATGTTTAACATACCTATGATTCCGAGAAAGGAGAGCGCCACTCGGATGTTTCATTCAAAAGTTTTAGTAGCGCCTACATGTGTATATGTATACATATAGCCAAGGACCATTCGAAGCTGCATATATACGGCACTACGTGTGTCTACGCTGAGAGCGATTCGTGGAAGGGATATAAAAAAAAAAAGACCCTGCAGTCAATACTTACGCGTGTAGGCGCCAAATGCGCCGTCTGCAATTATATTATATTATATATATGGCTCTTTTTTTTTNTTTAAAAATAATTAAAGAACTAATGCAAATACTAAATGATAATTTGATTTGTCTATCTGAAGAGATGCTTCGTCAGCGTAATATTTCAATTGAGATACATAAATACAAATTTTTGCACCTTCGCAATATTTATTGGTCACTATACGATGTGGCTAATATGGTATCAGATTATTATTCAACTTCTGTTCTTATGTGTTTTTTATACGTATTGTTAACAGTAGTAGTACAGTGCTATAGATTATTGAATTTTATACTGTTAGAAAATTCTACCACATCAGTTCTTGATAACGTGTTCTACACGGTTAGATTACTTGCGCTAGAAATATATGGCTCTTTTTTTTTTTTTAATAGGATGAATTTTTATCGTAAAAATATAGCTCAAAACAGGATGTTTCTAAAATTTTTTGATTTTCAGGTGGTGCACGTGCTCTGCGGGGATCGGATGTCACGGTAAGTAAAGCGTCACATTATATTTTTTTTAAAACATTTTGTTGTTTCAATTAAGGAAAGTCGAAGGAAGGCATTAACGTTTTAATGCTCGTGCTTGCCTTTACAAATGAGTGGCGTTTAAAAATCAAATTGCGATATGAAATTATTAATTTTATTCTTTCAAGAGCCACCGAAAACCATAATAGTAATAATTTTGATTTTACTGCCACGACAGATATAATAATTTCTATTGCATGGAAAAAAATAAATGTTCAATCTCTTAATATTCTCAAGGTGTACCCGTGTCCGGGGAATATCGATGAAAGAATCAATTTTTAATTTTACGAGACAAAACGATTTTAAGAAATTCATATAAAAATCACTGTCAGCCCAGTTTTGCCGTAACGTTCATTCAAGTCCTTCTTTCACTGCAATATGACAAGAGATGCAGATACACCTATAACGTGTACGTCCATGTGATCCACACTGGTTTTCGCGTCGATGCCGAACAAGAGAGAAACCGAGCTGCTGCATCGGGTCGTAAGGCTGGCATATTTATATTTGCCGGCTAGTATAAAACGGCGAAGCTTATACCTCGCCGGCGCATCCTACGGCGCCGACGTTGCCTTTTAACTGCCGTTTTCTTTAATTTGCTTCCTTTTATTTTTTTTATCTCTCTCTCCCTCTCTCGTCTCGACAAGTTGCCCCTCAAACGTTATGTATTTTTTTGCCGCCGTTGGGTATATGTATTTTACGGGTAATTTCGCGTGTATATGAGAATGAGGAGGTTACACGCATATATAGTGCGGTACAGAGGGCTGGGCTTAATTGAGACGTGGGACGAGGATTATTTTTTGCCTCTCCGAGGGAAAGAGGACACGGGATTAGAGGGACGTGTTGACGTCTAGTGCGTCCAATATTCATATTTCACTGAGTTTTAACTTTCATGTATATGTACAAAAAATCGTATATTATATACCAACGCCGCGGATCGTAATGAAAAATATTTACCCTCGCGTCTTACGCGCTGCGAATGAATTTTGTCGTGTGCGAAAAAATAGCCATTTCTGTGCAGCAGCACTTTTTTTTTCCATCGTCGCGCGCACGGGCAATTACAAAAACACGCAGCAAGACAAAAAGAGAGAGAGAGAGGAGCTATTAAAAGGGGATTCCTGCGGCGCAGCTTGCAAGGAGCTCTCCAAGAGCTTAATGTATTATTTATTTAAGAAAACCGTATTCCCCCGTCTTCCTTGACGTTAAAAAAAAAGTAATAAAATTAAAAAATAATAAATGGGGTGAAAAAAGAGACGTACAGAAATGGGCCGACAGACAGACAGACATCGCCGGGACATCTAAAAATGAGAAAGCAATGCGCCAAAGTCACGCCGGCTGAATTAATCTGATAAGGTGGTGAGCGCCCTTCGCGCATTACATATACGTACCAGAGGCAGGGGGGGGGATGTACATGCATGTCCGTTGCACCTATACCTGCCCGGCCGTAAGGCAGACTATATATTAAGCTTTCCACGCTGCATGTGTCGCCACTCGTGTGTGCAAGCATAACGCAAGGGTCTCCCCCTGTGATTATGATTCGTCGTTTTCTCTCCTTTTTTTGCACTCGTTGTGATGATGGGCACGGCCGGTCGAGGGCCATTTATTGCGTTTTTACCGAAGCCTCGGTGTATGTGCGCGTGTGTTTCTTTACACGCGCTCTCGTCGTCTCTGCCATGTGGTTGTTGTTGCTATTGTTGCGTTAACGATATATTACTTTTTTTTATATGACAGCCCTCTCGGTTTGTACAGATGTATGAATATAAGTTTTTTTTTTTACTCTCGTTATTAATTAATTTTTTGTTCGACCCAGACAAAAGAGGCGCATACCTCTGTGCACATGCAAGATGTGCGCACGTGTGTTGAAATTTCACGTCCTAAGAGAGAAAAAATTTTTTAAAGTAACAATTACAGCAGAGTTTTTTTTTTTTTATGCTATCAGTTTGGTGAATGAATTAACAATTACATCTACATTATCCAATCCTCGAAAACGTATGAAATGCCGTACAGAAGAAAAATACAAATTTTACTAACGAAGGTGGAAAGATTGTTTATAAAGATGTGATAGAACAGGTAATAATATTAAATATAAGTATACATTTGGGAACTCATCATTTTTTCTCGATTATAGCAGCTCAGAAATTACATTTTGTTCTTTTAATTTTATATTTTTATGATTTTTATTATTACTATTATCATCATTAATAAAAAAATTTTTTTTTTATTGGAAAAAAAATCATCACTTTGATTTTTAAAGTAAAAACTGTTAAATATTAAATGGCAAAAAATATTTTACAAAAAAGTAAAACAAAACACTTTATTCCCGTTATCTTTGCGTAGATTGAAATCTAAGTTAGCATTATAATTTACTTGCATCGCTTTGAATTTTGTATTGCAAATACACCGGTGTTTATCTTTTACCGAAAATCTATGCAACATAAACACAAACAGAACACAAATATAATTCATATAATTCATCTTTGCACGTAAACGTACTGTTTTACTATTCAGCACGTGGTTATTGCAATAAATTATGTTCTTCGTAGCACAAACTTTTCATAGTATACTTCGTAAGCAGAAAAAAAAGTATCAATCATAATGTCTCTAAAAGTTAATTTATATAAGAGTTTTTTATTATTAAGTACTTATTATTTTTTTAAAATATTAGGTTTGATGCCTATGAGTTTCAAGTATGATTTAAAAAGCGAAAAAAATCAATACATAACTTTTAGCAAGTGTAATTTAAGTACGGTGTATGGCATATTTTTAACTCTCATGGTGATTTCATTACATAGCTATTGGCTTTGGACTAAATTTTCAGACATTTCACTGACAGTCCTTAATTTTGATACCTCGATTATTATAATTTGTTCAGCAGTTCCGTATGTTGCGATAACTTACATTTTAATAAACTTTTCTTTTAAACAAGAAAAAGCAATTCTTATAGCTGTAAAAATGGATAGCATTATAACCCAACTGTGCAATCAGAAAATAAAAAAATTACAAATGATCAAAGAATTTTGGTTCTTGAATGGTATCATGTGGTCAACAAGAAATTTCGTCATCTGCTTGATGTCAAAATCTTTACTTTTTTGGGCTTTCACCAATACTTTGATCGAAATAATAATTATTGTTTCTTTAATGCAATATACCATAATTTTAAAAATAATTAAAGAACTAATGCAAATACTAAATGATAATTTGATTTGTCTATCTGAAGAGATGCTTCGTCAGCGTAATATTTCAATTGAGATACATAAATACAAATTTTTGCACCTTCGCAATATTTATTGGTCACTATACGATGTGGCTAATATGGTATCAGATTATTATTCAACTTCTGTTCTTATGTGTTTTTTATACGTATTGTTAACAGTAGTAGTACAGTGCTATAGATTATTGAATTTTATACTGTTAGAAAATTCTACCACATCAGTTCTTGATAACGTGTTCTACACGGTTAGATTACTTGCGCTAGTAATTTCTACAATTTTTCTGTTGAAAGCAGCATCTGCTGTTTTAATTGAGGTATTATAATAGTTATTGTTACGATGATTACAAGAAAAAATCTGGCAATTTACAATTTGATATGTACAAATATTATTTCAGTGTGATAAAACAAAATTAATTACATGCAAATGGATAGAGACATTTTATAATAATAATCGAAATAAAATCATCAATGAGGTAAAAAAAATATTGTGAATAATTTTCGGATCTGATACTAATATAGTTCTCTTGTATTTTAGTTCCACGATTTTTATATCGCTCTTTTGCACCAAAAAGTACATTTTTCTGCTACTGATCTATTTGAATTAAATGAATCTTTGATAATGAAGGTGAGTTGTTAGTTAAGAGATAATTGTTTAAGAAAAATAACACGAACCATTCTCTTATTTTAATGTACATTTTTCTAGGTTTTTGGGTTAATCATAAATTATCTGACAATTTTGGTCCAATTTGGAAGAACTCTAGAGATTTAAAAATCATTATCGAGTACATTTTCAATTTAACCCAGACAAAGATGCACATACCTCTGTATGTAGAATGATTTTGCGTACACGTGTTGAAATTTACGACCTAAGTGAAAAAAAATTGTTACAAGTAACAATTATAGCAGAGTTTTTTTTATCGATGTAATTAGTTTATTGGAGGAAGTCACGAAAACGTATAAAAAGCCGTATGACATGAAAATAAAAATTACCTGAAATGAATATTAAAAATTTTTTTTAAATATAATCCAGCAGTAAACTTACAGATAAATATTGTAGACTTATAAATTTTAAACACTCAAACTAACTCAGAAATGAAATCTCGTTTCTAACATTTGGTATTTTTCGATTGTTATTATCTTCATATCTTCATGATTATAGTCATCATTTTTAATANAAAAAAAAAAAAAAAAACATTTACAAAAGATTGAAACAAAACACTTTGATAAAGTATCATTACAGTGTTTAAAATGTAAGTTGGCCTTATAATTTACTCGCATCGCTTTGAATTGTATATTGCAAATGCACCGGTGTTTATCTTTAAATGAAAATCTATGTCGTAGCGATACCAACAGAATATAAAACAATTCATACTAATTATCTTGGCATATGAATGTACTGATTTATTATTAATATCACGATGATTGCAAAAAATAAAATTGTCGAAGCACAAACTTTTCATTGTTTGCTCTGCAAACAAGAAATAAAATTTTGTATCATGATGTCAGTAAAAAATAATTCATACAAAAGATTTTTAATATTGAGTACATATTATTTTTTTAAAATATTAGGTTTAATGCCTATAAGTTTTAAATATGATTTAAAAAGTGAAAAAAATCAATACGTAACTTTTACCAAGTGTAATTTAAGTATAGTGTATGGCATATTTTTAGCGCTTACAGTGATTTCAACGAATAGCTTTTTGCTTTGGATAAAGTTCTCAGACGTATCACTGACAGCCCTTAGTTTTGATACCGCATTCATTATACTTGGTGTCACTATTGGATATTTTACGGCAGCTTACATTTTAATAACTTTTTCGTTTCAACAAAAACAAGAAATTTTTATAGCTGGGAAAATGAGCAGCATTATTTCCCAGCTGTACAATCATAAAATTGAAAAATTACAGATGCTCAAAGAATTTTGGCTCTGGAATTGTATTCTATGGCCAACAAGAAATTTACTTGTCTGCTTCATATCAAAATCTTTACTTCCATGGGTTCTCGCCCATACTCCGATCGAAGTCGTAGTTACTGTTACTTTGATGCAATATACTATGATTTTAAAAACAATTCAGGTATTAATGGAAATATTAAATGATAATTTAATTAGTCTATCTGAAGAGATGCATCGTAAGCGTAATATTTCTATTGAGATACATAAGTACAAATTTTTGTACCTTCGCAATATCTATTGGTCACTATACGATGTGGCTAACATGGTATCAGATTATTATTCTACATCTATTCTTATAAGTATTTTATACGTATTGACATTTATAGTAGTGCAATGCTACAGATTACTAACTTCTATCTTGTTAGCTAATTCTATCTCTTCTTTTTCTGACAATGTGTACTTCTTTTTTAAACTAGCCGAGCTAGTAATCCCACCAATTATCCTATTCAAATCAGCGTCAGCTGTCTTACTAGAGGTATTATAATGGTTATTATTATTTATATGATAAAAATAAACGATATGGCAACTAACCATTCGATGTGTATACATATCATTGCAGTGCGATAAAACAAAATTAATTACATGCAAATGGATAGAGACATCTCATAATAATAATCGAAATCAAATCGTCAATAAGGTATATGTATAAATATTCAAATCCATTACTGGTCTGACACTAATAAAATTTAGTTACATGATTTTAGTTACACGATTTTCATACATCACTTCTTCAGCGAAAAATGTGTTTTTCTGCTGCTGAACTATTTGAATTAGATGAATCTTTAATAATGAAGGTGAGTTGTTATTTAAGAGATAATTGTTTAAGAAAAATTACATTAACCATTTTCTTATTTTAATATACATTTTTCCAGGTTTTTGGATTAATCATAAATTATCTGACAATTTTAGTCCAATTTGGAAGAACTCTGGATGTCTAAAAATCGTAACCAAGTATATGTTGCCTTGTTCGAATAAAATGAATACTTGTTATTTATTCATTTTTAGTTCTACCCTGATAAAGATGTACATACCTCTGTGTACAGTATAATTTTGCACACGAGTGTTGAAATTTGCGACCTAAGTGAAAAATATTAGTTTTCGTCGAATAAGTACCATTGTCTCCGGAGCTATTTTGCAGCCTGGTTCATAATTGTAATTACATTACATAATTGTCGAAAAGGTAAAAAAATTTGTACAAAATAAAAATAAATATATCATAAAATACTTGTCTTTCCTCTCGCTTAAAGCAGCTCAGAAATAAAATCTTCTTAGTTAATTTGATAATTTTTGAGATTATTATCATTATTACCCTGGTAGAATTATTATTTGAGATATAATTATTTAATTCAATTATAATTAATTCAATTTGGAAGAAAACCAGTCTAACAATTTTTATCGAGTACACGTTGTCTGTTTGAAACAGAGCAGTTACGTAAATACTCACAATCGTAACTGTAAATGTAGAAATGAAGTTTTGAAGTATGTTTATTAGTTCAATTATTATTTTGAAAAAAAATTAATATACTACAATGAACATACCGTAGAATAGTTTTTTTTTTAGTTTTACAAATTGTTTCACACTGTTACCATTCATCAAGTTTTCATTGTTAGTATTTAATCAAACCACTATGTAAAGATACTTTTACATTTTATTGATTAAACTGCCCGTTGTTTGTGCCCTTGAATTGACGTTCGATATTGTCACTGAAATGCAAAATAACCGAGCAAATAACATACCCAAGATGTCAATTTGATAGTATCATATTTATTCTCGGAAACGCATAGCATTTTACAATTTTTTAAAATGGTATACGTATGTACGTATGGCAAATTACGCGAATAACAAAATAACTATCGCAGCTGACATCAGTATAGTCGTTCCGCTACATCAATTTTCCAACATATTAAAATGCTAATCACGCCAACAGGGATATTAACTTCTGAAACGTTATAAACGTTCAAACATGTTCTATGAATATTAAAATTTTACATAGTTTCCCTCTCGCCTCTTAATTACCATTTTCATAACCGTATTAAAAAATCGCGCGGTAACGTGTAAAATTAATGAATAAACTTGAATCATTTTTTTTAGAGCCCACGTAAAACCGAAGACATGCAAAACGTCTTTCCTGCGAAAATGCTAACCGCAACTTCATAAAAGTATAACGCGAAGGCGCACGCTGCTATCGGTGGTTGAGATCTGATGCACCATCGAGGGACGTGAAAATTAAATGCTCGAAAAATTCAATTTTTTAAAAAAAAAAAAAAAAAAAAATACACGACTGCAACAACCCTTTGCCACCATTCAAGTCAGTTCCCTGAGCGAAAAGCCAAAATAACAACTTCGATTCTTCGTGCCCTAGAAATTAGCCTGCCGTGCAGCGAGTCTCGTTGCACACGCACCTCCTGCAGGTGCACCGTCAAAAGCTACCGGCCTTTCGCGATAATTCCTCTTTCTCTTCTATATACCCTTCTTACCGTATAAACACCCTACTCGCGAGAGCCTAATATCCGTGTTCAAGTACACGAACAAGACGAGAGTACTGCAGAAGCGCACACAGATGCATACGGATATATATATATGTACATATTATAACATACGCCCGGGAGGGAGGAAGGAAGGAAGGAAAAATAAATGCCTACTTGCTCAAGCTTATCTGTCTTCCTTTCTCAGGCGGGGCTGTCTGTGCATATATATAATATACGCTATAACGCTTGCGTGTCTCGCCTCCTCCTCCTGCTGATTTTTTATTCCGAACGCGCGCGTGCGACGCTCTTATAATTCCCACTTTGCCCCCGTCTCTCGTCGCAAGAGGCGTTAAGGCGTATACGCTTATACCTTTGCATCCCTTCTTCTTCTTACATAATATGCACGAAGCTCGCCCAAGATTCGAGATTTGTGTATTACTATGTTTCGCCTGGTTCTACACTCTGTAGCTCACCACGATGACGATGATAGTCATATATACGTATACGGAGTGAGATGCGAAATTAGTAGCACCAGTAATACCTACTTGTTTGTAGTAACAAAGGCTGCTTCTTCTTCCTCTCGGGGTACTTATTGCATGTTGTGTTGTGCATTGCTGCGTTTCGAGGAGGTCGAGCGCGGAGCTCTTTCGATTAATGCATAGCGTTGCATATACTTATACAGTGCACCCTTGTAAGGGGCTTGCATCGTGCGATCTTTTTCGCGGAATGCCCTCTAATTGGGACGTCAATCGAAATTTTGTGGTTTCAGAGGGAAGAAAATTTTTTTTTTTCCTCTGATATTGTAGCTCTTGATTAATTTTCGGAAAAATCGTTAATCGTGTACGTTTCGTGATTTTTTGCTGCTGATGATTTAATTTCTTTTTTAGTTAAAAGCATGCACCGACTTGTATTTTTTCTAAGTTTATTAATCATTGTAAAGAGGAATAAATCAGTTTCAGAAGCTGACTTCAAAGATAATTTACAAATCAAAATATGATTAGATTGCTGTTGAGATTTTTGAGGAAATGTCTGCATTGTTTTCAGGATCAACTCAATCTTCAATATGTGCATAATTATTACGTTACTCTTTTTTTTCCTTCTTCCCCGATGAAACAATACATGGATTCATGCAGCACCTCTATATTACCATGATTCCGTAAAAAAAAAAAAAAAAAAAAAAGCTCAACATAATCCGGCACTATCTTGACAGAACAATCTAATCATTAAAAAAATTTTCATCTCTACATATACTGCTATCCAGCTCGGAACATCGATTTTCCTCCGCTCGCACATTATAATACGCTGGAGGCTACATGCTTACCAGTTGTCTACCTTCGTGCATACATAATTAACGCGCGAATTCTTTTTTGCCTCTCTTTCTCCCTTGCGTCGGGCTGAGAACGAGGAAATACGCACCTACGCTTGGTGAGAAAAAAAAAAAGTAGTTTCGTTTTATACTTGCTCGTGCAGAGAATTTTTTTTTCTTTTTTTAATTTTGCAGGCTTGTACGAAAAACTTCTTTTTTTTGGACTCTATAGTCACACTACCTAAATATACGAAGTGCAAAATGTATAATAATTGTTTGTAAATTGTTCAAATCAGGGAAAAAAGAAGTAATAATTAGGACCAAGTGAGTAAAGAAATATATCCGTGTGTATAGCAAACGAAAGCTTTGTAGTTGGACCTAAACTGCTGCTTAAAGCATCGACACGTTTCGGCAGTTTAGTCTTATACGATGGGTAACCATCCATCAAAAGTACATACACAATGCGTTTGACTGGACGCGCGACACGTGCCCCTAAATTTCACCTCTCTGTTACCCATTGGCTGTAATAATCGTATCCAATAGGCACGCGTCCACAAATTGAAAAAAAAAACTCCCGCTGCCAATCAATTTTCACAAAGCTTCCTCAAGCTCTGTTTAACACTAAAAAAAAAAAAAACGTTTCTGCAGGTAAGAGGTAAAAGCGAAAATATTGATTTGAACTGCCACCCTTAACGTTCACGTATAATCAAAACATTGTTTTTCAGCCCTATGGAAAAAAAACAAAAAAAAAAAAACACACCGAGTACCAAACTAAGGTTCACGGCAAAAATGATGAACCATTTATGAAAAGCATAGGCAAAGTCCGGCCAAGCCTATATACAAACGGACCTTTTCTTCCCTCACGAAATAGCCACTCTGGGCGCGTCTCTTTCAACCGGGACCACCTGGCTGGAGAGGGTCACCAACACGGCCATTCTTCGGAAGCTAATCGCTTTTCCGGATCCGCACGAGCGAAAGGCTTCTTTTCTCCAAGCCACTCTTCCTCTCTCTCTCGTTTTTCGGGAACAACATCCCCCGAGTAATCGCCGACGCGTGTTTCCCATTATCCGAGAACACGGATCAGCCCCGTCCCCCTGCTAATGATATTTGAAAAGGGAGGGCGCGCGACAAATGTCCCTCCCGTTGTGCGCGGGTGTACGTGTGTCGGCTGGGCCAACTCTTCCGGATGGCCGATTCGCTTTTGCGGACCGATCCTCGAGTGTTTGCGGAAAAACGCCCCTTACACCTTGGCCTTTTCGAAGGCTCGTACCGGATACTCTGTTTTTTTTTTTTTTTTTTTTTTTTTTTGCACCCGTGAGCACTCCATGGAGCTGCACGTAAATCAACATAACGAATCAATCAGCGAGGGCTTTGACGCGCGTGTCGTCGAAAAGCTTTTCCGAATTATCCGTCGCGAGTGGCTGGGGGTGTATATACACACACAAAAGCGATGTGCCGAGCCGCAACATCGGACGTTCAGCTATTGTATCCTCGGATCTCCGTCATTAATGCGTCCATTGATATACACACACACGCATGGACCAGCCGCGGCGCACATGGGGACATGGCTCGATCAGATAGCGTTTGGAGGCAGCTATACGGCGGCGCTGACAAAAGATTCCGTGTTCTATCCTTTCACCGGGATGAAAACGGCGT